TCATAGATATGGTCCCTGTCCTTGCCAAGTGTTCTTCGTCTGCCCTTCATACGCCACTGTGTTCTTGCAGGCCGGTGACCTCGTGCTCCATATCAATGGAGAGTCAACACAGGGACTCACTCATGCCCAGGTGGTGGAGCGCATACGCACGGGAGGCCCCCGACTTTGCCTAGTACTCCGCCGGCCTCAAGAGATGGATGCTAGAAGGATTGAGGAGGGTGGAGGCCATCAGAAGAGAGGTGAGGTGCTGAGTTTCCCAGGGAAGAGAAGCAGGGATCAGAGAGGGGAAGGAGAGGATCAGAGAGTAGAGAGGCTGGATCCTGGGTAGAAAGGGTTTAGTGGTCTCCGTGGGGACTGTAGAGGTCCGGTGCCGGGGCTGGGTTATAGAATTCACAAAATCTGAGACAGGGAGGGGGGCATCCCAGAGCAGGAACTTCAGAGAGAGTGCTTTTGAGGTCCTAGGAGAGGAGAGTCCGGGATAAAAGCTGTTTTTTAGAAGGGTCAGTCTCAGGAAAATGGGGTAAGATTACAGAGACGGAGGACTCTGCCGTCTGGGATGCAGTTCTGTGGGCCGGCGCTTGCCATCTGAGAAGCCGTGTGGAGTCCATCTCCCAGATACGCTCTGTATTTACAGAGTAAGGGGTTTAGTTGTGAGAGACAAGTAAAGGGGGCTGGCAAGGCAGCTCAGCAGATAAAAGTGCTTGCCACCAAGCCTAACGACATGAGTTTGATCCCCGGGACCCACAGAGTGGGAGGAGAGACTTGGTCCACTCAAGTTGTCCTCTCTGACCTCCATACGTGAGCTTCCCCCCCTCCAATGTTTAAGCACTGATCAGCAGGTGAGAGGGCAGGGAACCAAGGGAGAAGGAGCGAGAGAGGGGCGTTCAGAAGTCTCACATAGGAAAGCCTCACGCTCCAAAGGTTTGACTTCCTTTGGGCAATGATTTCCGTGGAGGCCATGTCCTGGATTGCAGAGGTATATCTGGAGGGGGTAATGTCTGGGTTTGTGAGGGAGTGGCACTTCTAGGCCTTGAAGAGATCGTTCTCGAAGGCTTTTCTGGCCACTCTTAGCCAAGGCACCGATGTCCATTTCCCCACTCCACCACCCAATCTAACCCTCAGCATTGCTCTCTCCAGATTGCAGCCCGGATCCTAGGGGAAGCAGGATGACAAAGTCTCGCAGCACTATTTCCCCAGTTCATCACCCGCCCAAGACCCGGACCAGTCTGGAACCTAGTCCCGAGGCAGTGGCTGCTGGCCACGTGGTCCCTGCAGTGGAGCACCCCACAGAAGACTTGGACGACCGCCTCCCTGGCACCCCTGGGCCCTGGCTGGTGCCCAGTGAGGACCGGCTCTCACAGGCTCTAGGGGTTCGGGGCGGGGGCGCGCAGCTCGCTCAGGAAATGGCAGCTGGTAGGCGGAGGCACTGAGCACCAACAGACAGCTCTGTGCTCACTTGGTGACGTCTCACGTGGTTTTAGCATGCCTGATCGCCTGGCTCTAGCTTTCCCCTTAGAGTTTTAACCTGGTCTAGTCCCTTCCCATTGCGCATTGCTCAGTGGACTGGTCCCCACCCCTTCAAGATGCCAGTGGTACGGCCCTGCCGGAGCCCAGAGTGCTCGCACTCCCTCCCACCCCCGCGCGCCTCAGATTCTCCTAGTTCTTTCCCGGTCGGGAGGTAATAAAAAAGCTGGATCTAGTCCTGACTTGCCAGGTGCTCTAGGCGGGGTGAGGCTTCCTCCCAGTCCACCCTGGAAGGGAGGGCTGGGTTGATCTGGTTTCGATGAAGGTCCTATGAAACCATCCGAAAGCTGCGTGTTCATGCCTCCAGATGGATCCTTATTTCTGTTTGCTCCCCAGTTTACTTTGCTTTGCTAAGCCCTGCACTTCTTCCTATTCATTCATTTCACGTTTGGAGAACGCATATTTTTGCATGTGGCATGGGGAATGCAGAAGTGGGCCAGCTGTGGGCGTGCCCCAGTAGGCTCAGGGTTCCCGCATGGAATCCTTCAGACCCTCAGCCGACAGACATCAAGATAAGCAAATCTAGAAACCTGGCGCCTTCCTCCACCCAGAGTCTGCGGTCTCCTACTTCCTGCTTGAAAAACTAGCTTTAACCGGCACGTAGACTGCTACCCTACTGCTACCCTGGAGGCGCGGGCTGGGGCCCTGGACCCCACTTAGGGACAGAGTGGGGAAGGTCTGAGTCAGCGCCTGGAGTGGTTCATGCTAAAAAGGGCTGTTAGAAATCTTTGGTCCACGCCTCCTCTTTTCCTTAGAAGGTGGTAAACTGCTCTGGGCGGTCCTGGTCTCGGGAAGAGACGAGTTTCCTCCACCCTGGGAGCTGAGTCCTACTGTCAAAAGGCTTATATGGACAACCCGGGGAGCCACAACGCAGGCTCTAGCCAATGCTACAAATGTCCAGTCACCTTTGCTGTTAACCACATCCTGAACACTCAGTCCCATCCCCCAAAGAGGGAAGTTGTGGTCCAAACAGGCAACTTTCGCTCCTCTAAGGAGGATACAGGGAGGGGAGAGAAATGACAGGACCAGAGTCTCAGGTGGCTCTGAGGGTGGGGGTGGGGCAGACTGCAAAACTAAACAGGGACAGCTGGCAGCTGGGATAGAGAGAAGCGAACACTTGAAGTGTTAGTGCTGTGAACAGTGTGCGGGTGTGTGGGGGTGACTTCCAGCTACTCATGACTCAGAGTAGAGTGGGAGTATGGCTCCCCAGAAGTCAGGAAAGGGTTCTAGTCTATAATCCTAAACAGTCACACCCATGGGGACTAATATAGTAACCGCAGCCACCATTTCCTTAGTTTACCTTCATCCCTGCCCCTAGCTTTAATGGGGTATTTATTCTCATCTCGTTACACACCTGCTCACCGACTCGGAGAGATCATCTCACAAAGAGGGAAATGAGGCCCAGAGAGTGCCAATCGGTTGGCGGGGGCAGAGCTCAAAGCAGGATCAGCCAAAGCTTGGTTTTGAAACCTTTCGTCTTAATCTCGCCCCTACTTGACAAACAGCAGCTGGACCTCAACTGGATACCTGCTCTCGAGAGTTCTATGGTGGACAGCAGGGAGCTAGACAAAGCTCTATCGTTGTGCGGCTAGGATAGTGAAAACAGACTGATGCCAGACAAGAATGGCAGGAATGCACAAAAGAGAACTTCTAAGAGAAGTCATCTAAAAAAAGGGGGGTTCTGGCTGGAGATTGTGTATCCCTATAATTCCTCCATGTGGGCAGCTGAGTGAGATAAGAGAATCACAAGTTCTAAGCCCTAAGCCACCTTGGGCTACACAGTGAGACTGTTTCAAACATCAAAGGAAACGAAAAACAAAGAAAAGGAGGGGTCATGTTGTGGGAGATGGTGGTGGGCTGCTGGCTTCGACTGAAGACATAGCGTTTGAAGTGGAACCTGAAAAACCAGAAGCCAAGTGAATGAAAGGCTGGGGGAAGGGCATCCAGTAATGAGACCGGCAAGCACAAAGGCCAGAGGCAGCTAAATTTGTCCTGTTCTACAAGTGCAGGTATTTGCCGCTGCTTGAACGCATGCACTCAACAGGGAGAAAAATGTTTCAACCTTTCCATTACTCAGTCACTCCTTCAACAATGGCAATTGTAAACGGGAGCTCCTTCATTTGAAAGGGATCTGTGTTTGGGGTGGGGGCAGGCAGGACCTTAGATTGAATTCGGGCCTTCCAATGATGTCTTGACACTTGAGACGAGTATAAAACCAATGTTCAGAAGACACTGTGTGTGGGGGTGTGTGTCCTGATTTCAGAGTCAGACACTAACATGGCTAGGAGAAATTAATTGCTCAGGAACACAGTGCAAAATGTCATCTTTCTTACCCAAAATTGCATTCCAAGAACCATCCCCTTACCTTGCCCAGCTCTCAGCAAAAGTGTGTACTTTCCCTATTCTTCACCAAAGCTGCCTTGGCCTCTCTTCTCAGAAGCAGAAAGCTGAGGTCCAGCACGTAGGCTGAAGACTTCCCTGGAATTGCCCAGCACAGAGTAAGCCACTGGTTCCCTCGGCTCTAAGCAGATTACTGATATGCACTACTCTTTACCAGGTGACCACCGGGTCCTGTTCTCACCCAGCCTTTGCAGCACTATTGACACATTTCACACTGCACTATCCTTTGTATATAACCAAAGCTTCCCAAACTCTGGAAACCGACTGCACCCTCCCCACCCCAGCTTGGTATCATTTGACTACAGCACGTGACCTGACCTACTCAGGAACAATGTTCAATCTTTCTTCATCTCACTTATTGTGAACATTTACACCATTTCTTGAGGTAATTGAGTTTTAATACCCCAGATCCTGCAGAGAGTGTTAGGTAATATACTATCTATCAGTAGTTCTCACCTTTCCTAATGCTGTGACCCTTTAATATAGTTCCTCACGTTGTGGTGATCCCCAACCATAAAATTATTTTCATTGTTACTTCATAGCTGTAATTTTGCTACTGTTATGAATCCTAATGGAAACATCTGTTTTCTGGTGGTCTGAGGCGACCCCTGTGAAAAGGTCGTTAGACGCAAAGGGGGTCGCGACCCACAGGTTGAGAACCATCGCTATATACGCAAAGGGAAAACCTTCTAAAAGTCAAAGCACTCCGAATTCAGAAAACATACCTGGTCTCGAGAATTTCGGGTTTAAACAGGGCCTCGGCTGTTTTTTTTTTTTTCCCCAGCCAAGGAAACTGAGTCACTCTATTGCTCTATTGCGTGTTGGCCTTTTGGTTAAGATCAAATGTAGGAAGTCAGAGTCGCTCGGTTCGGAGTGGAAGTAGCGCTTTTGCATTTTTTGAAAAGCTAAGGGTCTCTATATTCTTGCACCTGGTATCTGGAGTTGCCAGACACCTCGAAGATGGAGGTGTGCACAGGACCCGTACTGTCTTTGGCCGGAGGGCAAAGGGGGCTTCCGGGGCGGCAGCCACCTGGCCCGGCCCCCTCCGGCCCCGCCCGCTTCAGCTAGGCGCGGTGATTCATTCCCTCCTTTGCCCGGGGGCCCCCTTCCCGGCCAGACGGCGGGACAAACGGTTGGGTGTGCAGCGACTCGAACTCGTGAGCCAGAAAACAGAGCTTCTGCGCCCCAGCGACTCCAGCACACACCATGGCGGACTCTGAGCGCCTCTCAGCTCCTGGCTGCTGGTTAGCCTGTACCAGCTTCTCTCGCACCAAAAAGGGAATTTTCCTGTTTGCTGAGATTGTGAGTGTTCTGGGACCGGAGGGTGGGCAGAGGCCGCGTGTGCAGGCTGGACCGCTCGGTCCTGGACTGTTCGGGTTGAGGCAGGCACGTGGCCAGGCTGATTGGCAGTGGGGTGCAGGTGGGTGAGTTCGTGGAGGAGGATCGAAGCCAAGGTGCAGGGGGTTCGGTGGGGCATGGGCGAAGTAGTGGAGAGCTGGAGGTGCACTGGTGAGGCGACGAGTCCATAACTTATATTGGGGGTTCGGTGTGGGGGGCGTAGACTCATAGTGGATCCAGAGAAGGGGTCCTGGGGAGTGGATGTCTCTCGTGGCAGGGCGTGGCCGGCCTGGGCACTGGCTGGCGGGCTGGCAACGCGCCCAAAGGCGGGGCCTGTTGGGGTGGGGTAGAGCTAGTCCCCTAGGGTAGGGCTCTCCACCCTTCGCCAGTTTTCCCTTGCCAGTTTGGGACTGGATGGGAGGTCCTTAGCTCTTTGGATGGTTATAGGGAACTTTGGTTTTCCATCCCCCTCCAAGTGGACACTGGCTTTGGGTCACTTATAAAAGAGGTGCGGCGCCTTTAACGGAGCCCTGCCCTTCTAGTGTCAGTCTCACCCCTGCCCAAAGGGGTTGCCTGGGGAACCGCACGTCCCTCCCCTAAAGGCATGGACGCTGGCGCCACCAGCGCTCACAAAACACCTGGCAGAGCCACTCCCCTCAGGGAAAGGGGAACCGAAGCACATAATTCTGCTCCTTTCTTACCGGGTGACCCTGGGCAAGCCACTTAACCTCTCTATGACTCAAATCTCTCATGTGTAAAATAGAATAGTAGCTAGCTCATTAGATTGTTGTGATGATTAAGCGAAAGAAGACATGTAAAACTCTAAGACAATGCTTGGAGAACACAGAGCACGCGAGAGGGGTTTCGCAATTCTTGTGTGTCATTTTCTCACTCCTGGTAGTTCTTGAGAAAAGGGATTTTTTCTTTCCTCCCCACCCCCACCTCTCTCTGCTGAGTGGGCAGAACTTGGGGCCTCGCACATGTTAGGCAAATGCTCGCAGATGCTCGGCCACAGAGCACATCACCAGTCTTGGGAAGTGGATTTGAGTTTGAGATCTATTCTCTTCTTTTCTTTCATTCTTTCTTTTTCCTTTTGGTTTTTCGAGACAGGGTTTCTCTGTGCAGTTTTGGAGCCTGTACTGGAACTCGCTCTGTAGCCCAGGCTGGCCTCAAACTCACAGTGCTGGGATTAAAGGCGTGCGCCACCACCGCCTCCTGAGATACCGCTTTTTTAATTTAAACCGTTGCTCTTAACCCGCGGCTGATTGCGGTCCTCTGTCCCCCTCTTAGATACTGTGCCTGGTGATTTTAATTTGCTTCAGTGCTTCGACGTCAGCATACTCGTCCCTGTCTGTGATTGAGATGATCATTGCTGCTGTCCTATTTGTCTTCTACATGTGTGACCTGCACTCCAAGATATCATTCATCAACTGGCCGTGGACTGTGAGGAAGGGGCCAGGACTGCGGAGGGCGGGCAGCGGGCTTGGGAAGTTGGAATGGTCTGGGGCACTCTGGATGCTGAGATTACCACCTTTCTCCATCCACAGGACTTCTTCAGAGCCCTCGTGGCGGCCATCCTCTACCTGATCACCTCCATTGTTGTCCTTGTAGAAGGAAAAGGCAGCTCCAAAATTGCCGCTGGGGTAAGAGCCCAAGAAGCAGATCCCAAGACAGGAAGAAGGCCTGAGGATCTAGGGACCTCTGCAGGAGTGTGAGCCACACCAGGCCAAAGTTGCTAGCAGGACTTGGCGCAAAGTCTGGCCCCGGACTTTGATTTTATCTGCCAAGATCATTTGCTGTAAAACACTGTCCCGTGTCTGACATAGAGACCTTTGTCAACATGGTAGGGTACCATCTGCTAGAACTTTGCCTCAAATGTAGTATGAAGCATGCCCTCTACATATGAGCCAATGGGGGTGCCTGACCTGTGCTGCGAGGTAACTGGGGAGATGGTGGGGTAGTTCGCATTCAGACTCCTGACCTTTCTTTCCCTGAGGTCCCCTGGTTTCCTAGCATAGGGCTGGATGGTCATTATCCCACATAGGCCGGTCCCTGGAGGTGGGTACAAGAGCCTGAGTAGGTAGGTACATCCTCTAATCCATTCCCCTCGCTCCTGTCTCCTCAGGTACTGGGAATATTTGCTACATTGCTCTTTGGCTGTGATGCCTACTTTACCTTCCCTCTGAAGCAGCAAAGACATACAGCAGCCCCTACTGGTAAGAGAGAGAGAGAGAGAGAGAGAGAGAGAGAGAGAGAGAGAGAGAGAGAGAGAGGATGTGTGTGTGCGTACCTGTGTGAGTGTGTGCACACACGTGCATGCATACTGAGAGCAGAAAAAGAAAAAGGGACAGGTGTAGTGGCAAGTGTCTATCAATCCCAGCAGTCAGGCAGGTGGATCTCTGAGTTCCAGGACGGCCAGGGCTACATAGTGAGACTCTGTCTCAAAAAACTTAAAAGGGAAAAAAAAAGAAGGAAAAAGGAAAAGGACCTCCCAGGGAAGGGTCTGATTGCCAAATCTGTCCTGTATTGATGTGCCAGGAAATATTCTAAGTGTGTGAGCATTCCTGCCGGTAAAAGGTCGATCTAGCAAAGCTTTCTTTCTTCCTCTCGCAGACCCCACAGATGGCCCGTGATCCCCAGTCACCTGTCTCTGCTACCTGCAAATAGCTCCTCCATCAAAAACTTCCTCTTGCCAGATGTGGTGGTCCGTGCCTTTAATCCCAGCACTCAGGAGGCAGAGACGCGTGGATCTCTGTGAGTTCGAGGCCAGCCAGAGCGACACAGTGAGACCTTGTTTCAGAAAAAAAAAATACCTCCTCCTGTTTCTACAACACTCCCAGCCACTTCTCTGACCCCACTGAAAGTGCTTATGGTACAGGAGATTGAACCTGGAGCCATCCGCATACTAGGCGAGCACTCTCCGCTGAGCTCCATCCCCTGTAAAAAGTGCCTTTGATGGGACAGTTTTGTCCTCCTGGGTGTGCCTAGGTCCCGTGTCTGTGTCCGGTCCCCCCTCCCCCCCATTGCTCTGCAGTACCAGCAGCTGACATGAGTTCTGCTTGAACCATCCCCCCACATAAGCTACAAGATGAGTGAACCCACTACAAATTACCTTTTCTCTCTGTGGGGTGAGCTGTGAAGGGCTAAATAAATAATAAACAGATTGTTAAAATCTATAATGAATAAGTTAATTTTTTGATCAATTGTACGTTAGCACCAGGAGGGAAACTGAGGCAAAGCCACCGGAGCAAGGAAGCCAGGCCTGTTTTTTTTTTTTTTTAAAGAACTATTGCATTGTTCCACTAATACAAACAGAGGGTGGAAAGGGGGCCATGACTTAGTGTAGGGGAATCATCGATTACACTGACTGGACAGTAGAATCCCTTCTAACGTTGCCTGCCTTCAAGCCACGATGCAGTTCTTGTCTCGGGTCTGGCGAGGCATCACTGGGTGAGACACCTGGACAAGTGGCGGGGCTGGGGAGTTAAAGGTTTCAGTTGCGGTGTCCTGAGTGGCCCTGGCCCTGGACAGGTGAGGGGGCAGCGGGATCCGTTCCCCTAGGAAGAAGCCATCATCCTCAGAGGACTCTGAACTGGGGCTAGAGGGCGAGCTGGAACAAGATCCTGAATCCGATCCCGATCCCACGTTACATCGGTGGTGGCCATGTCTGCCAGGATGGTGGTGGTGATGGTGGCTCCCGCGGCGCCGGCGTCGGCGCCGGCGGTGGCGGCAGCTGGGGGCCCGGGGTGGGGGACTTCGTGGCCTGCGGCGCTGGGCTGGGGGTGCACTCAGGGTCCGTCGTGGACCTCCCTCAGACACCAAAGGGTCGCGAAAGCTGACACGCGGGGTACTCTGGCGACCAAAGGCATTATCATCTGAGTGCAGGGCAGGATGGCCAGGAGTTTCTGGGGGTGGCTCAGGAGCACTGCGGAGCCCCAGCTCAGGCATAGAGTGGCGGTGAGGGGCCCCTCTCAGAAAGCGGGGAGGCTCGTCTGGGCCTGCAGCTATAAAAAGAAAGATGTAAGACTTGGTATCTGCCCGCTCTCTCTGGCCTTTACCTGAGGGAAGACTTGGGAATTCCTTCTTTCCTCTACCGGGACTGGGAAGTGGAGCAGGGGTCAGAGATGGGGCACCCCAAAGTTTGACTGTTGGTGCAGGCTTTAGGTGGAGGGATGGATAGGAAGTAAATCAGCCTGAGTAGGGAAGGTTTGCTGTATAGGTTGTGGTCTGGGAATGGGGTGGATTGGCCAGAAGGGGATATATCAAAGGCTGGAGTAGATTTGGTTTGAGACAGAATGGAGGGGACGCCTGGGTGGAGGGTGACCAGTTGGAGGAAGTGAGGGAAGTACTTGGCCTCAAGATGGGACCAGTTTAGGTGTCCTATGACCTCTGTGCAGGTGCAGGGCAGACCCAGGGTTCAGCAGACAGGTGGAGTCAGAGACCGAGGCCTGAAATGGCCTGAAATGGAGCCGAGGAGGAGGAGGATGGGCCCAGCTACTTGGGAGCCAGAATGCTTCAGGCAAGGCTGGGAAAAAGGCAGGGCTCACCAGGCTCTGCTTTGGTACAGGTGCCTTTGCTGGCTGTCTCAGATGTCCCCTCCGCCGCCGCCGCCGCCGGGAAAGAGGCCGAGGAAGCTGTGAGCGGTGCGGTGACTGTGCCGGCGCTCCAGCTGCGGCGGCCAGGTCCTGGGGCGGGGGTCTCGGCCCCAAGGCTGCAGGCTCGGGAACAGAAGATAAGGCCGCGGCGTGGGAGAAAGGGGCGGCCCAGCAGGGCTCGACCACAACGGCTACAGCAGAAGCAGCGATCTGAAGCGTGCCAGTGTTGGCCCTCATAAGCCATCTGGCCTTGGTCCAGGCCTGTGGGGACCAAGAGGAGGAGGAAAACTGAGGCAGCATCCATAGGCTATCCCGCTATGGTGGGATCTTAGGAAGATGTGGGGGTATTTGAGGTAGGGTACCCTGATTTTCTTCCCCACTCCCAGAAGGGGCCCTTTCTCTGAAGAAAGCAGATAATGTGAGATTTGGCCCTCATCTTTCTTATCCCTTGGAGGAGAGGGGCTGGCAATGGTGCCCTCTCCTCTTTCTTCCCTGGGATGCCCATTTAAAGGGCACAGATGGGCACTGAGCTCTACTATGTGGACACTAGGGGTTTCAGGCAAACGGAAGGCTGGATCTGAAAAGAGGCATGCACAGTGCCGGCAGGGCTTAGGTAAGACATGGCTTTGGTGGGAAATAAGCCAGTTTTAGAAGGTAGGATGAGGGAGGAGAGTGGGAAAGAATAGAGCGTAGCTCTGGGCAGTGAAGGCTTCCTTTTCGAGTGCTGAGATCAGAGGGTGCTCTGCAGGTGGATTTAGGCGTGTGGTGGGGGACTGATGTGCAGGTGGCATTTACAAAGCATGGCACATGGGTTGAGGAATATAGCTCAGTGGCAGAAAGTCTGTTGAGGACGTTGGAGACCCTGGCCCTGAGACCCGTCTCCTGCACCAAAGGGCGGGGAGGGTTAGGAGGGAAGAGGAGGAGGAGGCGGCAGTGGAGCGGGGAGACAGAGACAGAGAAGGCGAGTGGGCCCAGCTGTTCTACACGCATCTGTCCTGTCCCATCACGTTCACCCACCGATGTGTTCCCCACAGGCATCACAGTACTCGGCATGGCGAGCCTCGTAGCAGGCGCAGCAGTGGGGGCGGCTCTGACGCATCACATAGCGCTGCCCTCCTAGAGAAGCCTCACACTCGAAACAGCAGAAGTGACCCATGTGCCAGTGCCGGCCCTCGGCCTCCGTGCATTCCGGGGAGAAGATGATCTGCAGGGCACAGAGCCCCTGGGGCTGTCAGGAGAGCTTGCTTCGGCCTCTCTCCACCCTCCATTCCCACCTCCGGCCAGGGAGGCACAAACCTCGTCACATGCTTGGCAGCGAGGGCGCAAGCATTCGGCATGGTGGCGCCCACAGTAGACCTTGCCGGCGTGGTAGAAGTAGATGAGGTCAACCAGCAGCTCCTGGCATGTGGTGCACACAAAGCACTGAGGGTGCCAACAGGCACCAAGGCCTGCTCGACTGGCAAATACTGCAATGTCCCCACCTCCGATCTGCTTCCCACACTGCCAAATAACAGACAGCACCACAGTCACCAAGAGAGTCGGAGGGATGGGGTCAGCCAAGCATGGGACAACTTGAACCTCTCCCATGGTGAACCTTGTATATATATATATTTTTTGGACAAGGTCTCATGTAGCCCAGGCTGGCTCTGAATTTAATACACAGCTGTGGCTGGCCCTGAACTCCTCATTCTCCAGTAACTAGCACCACCTACAGGATAGATTTGAGATAGTTCTCACTCACAAGGAGGAGGGGGGACACCTAAGAGACTGACTCTGCTCATGGGAAAACCATAAAGACAGGCCTCAACCACCATGGGTGGCCTTACAGGCAATCCTTCCTCTAGGTGGTTGGGGGAAATCTTAAGTGGGGAAATCCAGAGGAGGTCTCAGCCAATGGACCTCACCAAATAGTTTTAAAGACAGGTTCCCACCCACCAGAGATGGCCTTGGAGACAAATTCCACCAACTGTGGAGGGCTCTATCTCAGGATTCAGACTACCACTATACATCAGTTTATTATTTGTTGGTGTTATTAATTTCCATTGTTGGGGATGGACTTGTAAGTCAGTTCTTTGTTTTGAGACGGGGTCTTACTATGTAGCCTGGGCTGCCCTTGAACTTTCAACAATCCTTCTGCTACAGCCTCCTAAATGTTGAGATTACAGGTGTGAGCCCCCATGCCCAGCTATGTGGGTCAAATCTTAATAACAAGTCCCGATCACAAGAAGACCAAAGACAGTCCCTGCTTGATGCCCTCTGCATGGAGGAGAGGAAACCACAGAAATGTACATCAAGGCCTTCTCAGAGACAGCTTGGACCCAACAGTGGTGTCTAGGGGACAGGTTCTATTCATCAGAGGGCTCTAGAGACTCCCCACTGGGCGTTAGGTAGTAGGCCTCGGGGTCTTCACTTGGCGAGGCCCCCTATAGCTCACCTCCTCGCAGATGGCCCCAGTAATGGTCACTGGGAAGATTCGAACGGTACCCCGTCCCAGATTCTCCCGCTTCCGCTGCTGGCTGAAGGCTCTCAACTCTTTCTTCTCCTCCTCTTCCAGGGCCGTGCAGTATTGTGCCTGGGGAGAGGAGGAGTCTTCTAGACTTCATCCATGTTCATGGAGTTGACTTCTAGGCCATTATATATATATAGCCACCTAGCCACGTAGCCACCTATTGGAAATACCCAGTCCTCACCTCTTCTCTCAAGGCTTAGCTATGTTTGGTTAAGGAATGTCCCCTTCTGGCTCCTGCTTCCCCAGACCTTTCACTTCAGCTCAGCTCACCTTTTCTTTTTTTTCCCCCCAAGACAGGGTTTCTCTGTGTAGGTTTCTCTGGAACTCCCTCTGTAGCCCAGGCTGGCCTGGAACTCACAGAGATCCACCTGCCTCTGCCTCCCGAGTGCTGGAATTAAAGGCATGTGCCACCACTGCCCGGCTTCAGCTCACCTTTTCTTAGCTGGCCCGGTTCATTTCTTTCCAGTCACCCCGAATTTGTCCAGGCTGTGCCCCACTCCTGGTCTCCTTCACTCACCTCACTGTCATGCGGGGGCAGCTGGTGCAGCAGCTGCTTTATCCTGTATTTCTCCCCAGGACTGTTGACATAGGGGACCTTGTCCTCTGGGAGGCAGCTGAAAAACTGGTAAACCTGGGAGGACATGGAAGGGGGAGAGAAGAAAACAGTTACAGTTAGGGGTGAGCCAGGATACAGAGTGGTCACGGGTCCCTGGTTCTATGGGAAAATTAAAATCCCCCGAAGGGCACTTCTCCTGATGCCATCCTCTTTCCCAAAGCCCCTGCGTGGTTGAAGTGACCTACAGAGCAAAGCTCCAAGCCCCGCTTCCTTCTTCCCTTTACAGTAAAACTTCTCAAGACTTGTGAGCATTCCCAGGCAGTCTACTTCCTCGGCTCCCATTGTATCTTGGGCCCACTCCAGCCAGGCTTCGGGCCCTGCCCACCCGCAAAGCTATTAAGGTCACTGGGGACGTCTGCATTGTAAAAACCATTGTTCGGGTCTTAGTCCTCATTGGTTAGACCATCAGTAGTTCAGGCCCCAGCTGATTACGCTCTCTTCCTGCAAACAGTTTCTTCCTTTGGCCTCCAGAATACCGCAGAGCCCTGGTTTCCTGCCTTCCTCACTGCCTGTTCTTCTCCTCTTTTAAATTGTTCTGCAACCAGTGGACCCCTGAATATGGGATGGTTATGGGGCTTAGTCCTTGGTCCTTCTTAGAAACTGCATGCACCTTCGTGGCTGTGACTACCATCTGCTGGCTAAGGTGTCTTACACGCAGCCCTGTGACCTGTCTCCAAGTCCTAGCTAACTAGCACCACCAACGGTGACTCAAACATGCTCAGATTGTCTTTCTTTTCTCTCTTCTTCCCTTCCCTTCCATTTTCCTTTGAGATGGGGGGGTCTCCATATGTAGTTCTTGCTGGTTTGGACCTTGCTGTTTCCATCAGGCTGGCCTCAGCTTCCTGAGAGCTGAGAATACAGGCATGCACTACCATGCCTGGTTTGCCTTGATTTTTTTCATACTACTTAACTCATCCATTCATCTGTAAGGTATTCTTTCGCTCTTCACTCCTCTCTCACTCTAACCATTACTGAATATATATGTGTATATACACACATGTATTATACATCTATGTATACATATACATATGGAAATAGGTAAATATTGAGACATGGTCCCACTCTGTAGACCTAGCTGGCCTGGAACTTGATATGTAGACCAGGTTGGCCTTGAACTCACAGAGATCTACCTGCTTCAGCATCCTGGGTGCTGGGACTAAAGGCCTGTGAAACTGTGCCTGGCTTTCAATTTCTTTTCTTTTCTTTTTTTCCCTAGACAGGGTTTCTCTGCATAGTTCTGGCTGTCCTGGAACTTACTCTGTAGACCAGGCTGGCCATGAACTCAGAGATCTGCCTTCCTCTGCCTTGCTCAATTTCTTTCCTTAAAGACTGGGGACTTGTTAAGTAGTCTAGCCCAGGCTGGGTCACGTAGTGAGTTCCACACCAATCAAGGGATAAAAAAGCCCTGTGTCAGAAAATCCTCCCCCAACAACAAAAGGCAATGTATCCCAGAATTGAGGCCAGGAGGTGTCACCCACTCAGTGGTAGTGCACTAGCATGTGCAAAGGCCCAGTGTGCTCTTCCTAGCTCTCTATGTATTTCCAGACCCAAGCCTCCCTCAGTAGTCACCCAGACGATTGACACAGTTTCCTCCTCACTGCTACAGGTTGTGACTGCAGCCAGCCAGATACACTGTTGCGGGATGAGACAAGTCGGTCCCTCTTCTCACACCCCTCTTGAGCCTCTCCCCTCATTCGGAGCCAAGTTCGCCCCGTGACCCCCAGTCCCTCTGACCTTTCCTGTAACTCCTCTCGCTTGGCTCACTCTGCTCCTGCCTCACATTTCCTCCCACGGATGTGCCAAGCACATCCGGCCTCGGTGCTCACTACTCACTTGGCCTGGACTGTGCCAAGCTCAGATTTCGGCAACGCTCATGTCTTCACCTTCTCCAGGGCAGCTCAGACAGGGCTTGCCTGGACACTCTATTTATAATCCTGGCCGCCCTCCCTCTCTTCCCCTCAACTTTCTTTTTTTATTCCCCAGTCCTTCTACCGCCTGACACACAGTCATCCCTGTGCATGTGAGAGTTCCATATTTGAGGGTTTAACTAACCAAAGGTATTTTTAAAAGATCCATATGAACTGAACACCTACACACAGACTTTTTTTTTTGTGCTGTTGTTATTTTTTTTTTTAAAGATGGGGTCTTATTATTAGCCCTGGATGGCCTGGTATTTTATAGTCTTGAACTTGTGGTAATCCTCCTGCTTCAGCCTCCCCAGTGCTGAGATTACAGACATGTATCACCACACCCAGCTATTTTTTCCTAAACACTATATTTTTTTCTGGTTCTGGGCTTGATTCCAAGGCCTTGCACATGCTAGGCATATTCTTCACAACAGAGCTACAACCCAGCTCATAAATAATATAACTTCTTATAGCATTTACAGCATATCAAGTATTATAATCTAAAGAAGATTTAAAGTGTATGGGAAGATGTTTGTAGGTTCTATACAAATAGTATGCCATTTTACGTAAGGCATAGGTTACATACATTGCTATGCAAGTTTATGTAAGAGACAAGCATCTTTGGAATTTGGTATTCCTATGTAGGAAAATAAGTATCTGCATGCATGTGCATCTATGTGTATTTTAGTGCTGGAGTTGGAATCCAGGGTCAAATGCATGCTAGGACAAATGCTCTATCCCTGAACCATACCTCCAGCTTATGTTTTTCTTTCTTTCTTTCTTTCTTTCTTTCTTTCTTTCTTTCTTTCTTTCTTTCTTTCTTTCTTTCTTTCTTTCTTTCTT